TCCAATTTTCAATGGTTATTTACAGCTGTTTCTCTTCATTTTGAGTTGTGCCCCATCAGCAAATGAATGCACCATGGGCTTTTCTCCCACGAGCTTTACTCCATGCGTGTCATCACTGTCAACTCTACTTTGAGGAGGCAGCTCTTCTCCAGTCGCATTTTGAGAGCCTTTCAACCTGAGGGGCTCATTTTCCAGAACTATATCTGACAGTGTTTCTCTGGTATTCATAAGGTTTTCAGTGACCAGTGATTCAGAAGTAGTTCGTCCCTCCTTCTTCCTAGTCTATCTTTGTCTGGAAGCTCATCTGAAACCTGTCCACCATGGGTGACCCTGATAGTATTTAAAATACTGGTAGCATAGCTTTCAAAATCATAGCAACTCACAAGTCACCACAGTATGACAAACTGACAGACGAGTGGTGGCTGTTTGGTTTTAAGTGGAAACTGTCACCCTAACAGCTGTTTTATACACTGCACTCTGTTCATCCCTTTTCTTGTCATCCTTACCATTTCCTCTTCAAACCTGAATCCTAATTCGTCTTCTTGCCTGAAATGTGTTCCTTTTCAAATTATTTTCCATGTTTCTATCAGAATATGTTTTCCAAGATCCATAGAGGAACAAATTATTTTCATGTCTAAAAATCTCTGAATAGTTTCCCATTTGCTGTGTTGGAAGAAGTGCAGCCAGAGTGCTCTTTGGAGGCCAGGATGGCCAAACTTTGTCTCTCATACTTCAGACATATTGTCAGGAGGGACCAGTCGCTGGAGAAGGATCTCGTTTTTGGTAGGGTGGAGGATCAGAGAAAAAGAGGAAGACCCCCAGCAAGATGGATCCACAAAGTAGCAGCATAAATGGGCCCAAGCATGGCAACAATTGTGAAGTTGGTCCAGGACTGGTCAATGTTTCGTTCTGCTGTGCATAAGGTTGCTGTGAGTTGGCACCAACTCAATGGCACCTAACAACAATTACTACTACTTAAACTAATCTCTCCCTTTTCTTTGCCCTTATTTCTTCTTGGACTTGTCATCACACAATATACTTCAGGACACTGAACTGTTTGTTTTTCCAAAGAACATGTGCTGTTTCCTACCTCTGCACCTTTGTAAATGCTTCATTCTTCCATCCTATTCTGCCCACCTGGAGAACATCTGGTATTTTTTGAACCAACTTGAAAATCATCTCCTCTATGAAACTTCTTCTGACTACTTCCCTTTTCCTTTACCTAGTCAGAGTTTATGTTTCCTTCTTTGTAACTAATATATGTATTTTTTTTTTTAATTATTGCTTATGTAATGTCTTATTGTAGTTGTTTGCTTTACATGTGTGGCTCTTCTTACTTCATTATGTAATTCATTTGAAGACAGTGTTGTGGTTTATTTATTTTCAAATCCCTAGTGCTCAATACAGTGCCTATACATGTTTATTCAAAGTTGCTTGAATATATATATTTATGATATAGAAAAGAATCAAATATTCATTCATCAAACATTTCTTGAATACCCTTTATGTTCTAGGCTTTGAGGGCTCCAGACTTCTAGTATACAAGGTAGCAGAACAGATTTGTTAAGGAAATCAGATATGTTAAACACACCCTGTGATATGGCAAATACTCAGCAGAACAATGAACAGAGTGTGTGTGGTCCAGGGCATGGTGGTGGTGGCGGTGACTTAGGAAAACCCTCATGTGAAAGATATCATTGGAATTATTATTTTGGGGTAAGTAAGAGCTTTTTTTTTCTTGACTGCTGCTTTCGTGAGTGTTGATAGTGATCCAAGAATAATGAAGTCCTTGACAACTTCAATGTTTTCTCCATTGATAAGAATGTTGTTTATTAGTCCAGTGGTGAGGATTGTTGTTTTCTTTGAGATGTAATCCAAACTGAAGGCTGTGCTCTTTGATCTTCATCAGTAAATGTTTTAAGTCCTTTTCACTTTCTTGCATTAGGCAAATTTGCTTCACAAGACCCTTTTAAAGTGTTGAAGAGTAAAGCTGTCAGCTTTGAGGACTAAGGTGCGTCTGACCCAAGCCACAGTATTTTCAATAAACTCATATGCATGTGAAAGCTGGACAGTGAATAAGGAACACTGTAGAAGAATTGATGCTTTTGAGTTATGGTGTTGGAGGAGAATACTGAAAGTATCATGAGCTGCCAAAATAACAAACAGATCCATTTTGGAAGAAGTGCAGCCAGAGTGCTCCTTAGAGGTCAGGATGGCCAAACTTCGTCTCTCACATTTCGGACATATTGTCAGGAGGTACCAGTCGCTAGAGAAAGATATCATGTTTGGTAAGGTGAAGGGTCAGAGAAAAAGAGGGAGACCCCCAATGAGATGGATTGGTCAACTGGCAGCATCAACGGACTCAAGCATGGCAACAGTAGTGAGGTTGGTCCAGGATCGAGCAGTGTTTCGTTCTGCTGTGCATAAGGTCGCTATGGGTCGGTACCAACTTGATGGCACCTAACAACAATAACAAAAGAGCTTTTTAGGTATAAATATTTGGTGCATCATGAAATGAATTTTATTAACCATTTTATCTTTTTAGACTCAAAGGGATTATATTATATCCATAAATACTGCTTAAATAAATCTATGAAACATTCTATACTCAATATGTTGTACTCATTATTCAAGTAAAGAACCCTGGTCATGATGTGGGTAATTGATCCCTATAACCAAAAGGTTGAATCTACAGACATGGCAACCTGTTTCTGTAAAGCTTGCTTGTGGTGGTGATGTGTTGAGGAGTCAGTTCAGATGCATAGCCAGACTGTACAAGGTTTCTGAGGCTGTAAATCTTTACAGGAGCAGAAAGCCTTACCTTTCTCCTGAGAAATTGCTGGTTGTTTCAAACAGCTGACTGTGCGATTAGCAGCCTGAGTCGTAACCACTATGCTATCAGAGCTCCATTCTATAAAGCTTATTGCCTTGCAAAGCCTATTGTTGTTGTTGTTAAGTGCCGTTGAGTTGGTTCCAAACCATAGGGACCCTGTATATAGGGTTTCTGAGGAGCAGCTGGTAAACTTGAACCGCCAACCTTGCAGTTCAAATGACTTTGCAGTCTGGCGCATTAACCCACAGTGCTATACCAGGACTCCTGGAAAGCCTATAGGCAGTTTTACTCTGGGAGTCCTAGTGTGGTGCTGTGGGCTAACTCTCTGGACTGTGAGGTGGGTTTGAACTGCAAGATCGGCAGTTTACCAGCTGCTCCTCGGAAAACCTATACAGGGTCACTATGAGTCAGAATTGACTTGACAGCATTTAACAACAACAACAGGGATGCTAAGGAGCCTGGGTAACAGAGTGAATTATGTTGACCGGCATTGGACTGCAAACCACAAGGTCAGCAGTTTGAATCTACCAGCCATTCAATGGGAGAAATATGAGGATTTCTCCTCCTGTAAAAATTTATAGCGTTGGAAACCCTATACAGGGTTGCTATGAGTCCAAACCAATTCCAAGGCACACACCATCTCTATAGGATGCCATGAGTCAAAATTGACTCGCTGGCCACAGGTTCGATTTGGTCTTTTTGGTATTATTCAAGTACATAATTTTCATTTGTTGGGAGTACCTGGAGAGAAATTGAGAAATTATGAAGACTTTTTATGCCATCTTAAGGAGGCAATGCACTGGACTGCAAAGTCATTTTGAACCACAAGGTAGGCGGTTCAAACTCACCAGTCGCTCCTTGGAAACCTCACACAGGGTTGCTATGAGTTGGATATGACTCGACAGCACTGGGTGAGGAGAACTTTTAAGTAAGACAATAGTAGGAACTGCTTACTTTATTAGGAATATTAACTAGGGTAACAAGCAAACAGAAAACAGGGCAATTGATGGGGGATTATTGCAATTGTGCATAGGAGTGAGGATGATGGTCTGGATGAGGCAGTGGTGGGAGGGAAGAGTAGGAAGGACTAGGTTCCAAAAGTTTTGAAGCAGAATAGGATTTGATGATCTTTGAGATGGGGGAAAGGCAGATAAAGAAAGTAAATAAAAATGAGACCAATAGGTTTGTAATGATGCATGTGTGCAATAACATGTGTAAAAAGCAATCTATAAACTATAAAACATTACACAAAAATTGGTTGTTTTTATTATCTTCTCTGCTCTTAGTTTAGATGGAGAAAGACTTTACTTTAGAGATGTGTTCCTCTCCAAGAACGATATCAAACTTCAGATTGCTGTTGGTAGTAACTGTTCTGAGTTGGTTTGAACTCTCTGTGACTCTTTATACAACAGAACAAAACCATGCCTCACAATCATTGCTCACAATCACTCCTGTGTTTGAACTCACTTTGGCAGCCACGATGGAGTCCTCATGTGGTATTGTAGGATAATCACTGGACTGCTAGCATAAGATTAATGATCAAAATCCACCAGTCACTCCTCAAAAACCCTATTCAGGGTCGCTATGAGTTGGAATCGACTCCACAGTACTTTACAACAACTTTACCAGGTGTGATGTCCTTTTCCAGGTCCCTTCAAGAGTTTATGCCCAAAGTAAGTGAGGTAAGAGTCTTGCCATCCTCGTTTCTAAGCAACTTCTCCCAAGAAAGCTTTGCTTGTTCTTTTGGCAGTCCATGGTATGATCAATATTCTTAATCAACACCATTGAATTTCAGATTAGGTTCTATTATCCCTGAGATTTCACAGGGGCAAGGGGAAGGCGATTTTAGCAGACAGGGAGAGGAAAAGAACACAGTTCGGTAACGTTCTTAGGAGCTCCCTATCCATTCGCTTGAACCCTCCTAGAACTACAGCGGTAAGTCCACTTCCCCAGCCAATTCTTCTCCTCTTTTCCAGAGTCCCGGCATACTCACCGGCCAATCACCGCTCCCAACGTCATCACCGTGCGCCGTAACCGCACTCGTCAGTGCTTGGACACGTGTACTGTGTTGACTGTCAAAGTCTCAGAAAGTCTAATTCCCGGAAGCGGTGAGTCCTGAGATAACGTTTTTGTGTCCGAGTGCCCCTAAATCTGCGTATCCCCAACCATGAGCGCCCTGGGCGTGCTGTCCTTTACCCAGCAAAGTTGGGAACGAGTGCTGGCCAAAATGAAACGGGCTCTGGTCTACCTGGACGCCGCCTGTGCCGAAAGCCTGCATTGGGGCTGTGGATCTACCCGGCTCCTGGAGGCAGTCGGGGGTCCTGCGTGTCACCTGCGGGAGTTCGAGCCCAATGCGGCTGGCGGCGGAGCGGAGCAGCCCAAAGCAGTGTTTGTGCTGAGCTGCTTGCTGAAAGGCCGGACGGTGGAGATTCTACGGGACATCATCCATCGCAGTCATTTTCAGTATTGTGTGGTGGTCACAGCCATGAGCCACGCTGTCCACCTCACTGCTAACCATGTACCCGCGGCTGCAGCTGCTGAGTTAGAGGGGCAGCAGCCGGTGTTCGAGCAACTAGAAGAGAAGCTGTGTGAATGGATGGGCAATATGAACTATGTGGCCGAGGTGCTACACGCCCCCTTGTTTCTCGCCCCTGTTGCTCCCCATCTTGCCTTGACTCCATCATTTGCTTCGCTTTTTCCACTGCTGCCCCAGGATGTGCATCTCCTTAACAGTGCCCGACTAGACAAGAGGAGGCTGGGAAGTCTGGCTGAGGTGGATGCCGCTGCCCTGACCCCTGAGCTGATGTTGCAGATCCGGTGTCTGGTATCAGGCCTCAGTTCTCTTTGTGAGCACTTAGGGGTGCGGGAAGAGTGTTTTGCTGTGGGCTCACTCAGTCGGATCATCGCTGCAGATCTGGCCAATTATGCCAAGAACAGAAGAAAAACTGCTTCAGGCAGGGCATCAGTGGTCTTTGTGGACAGAACTCTGGATCTTACAGGTAAGTGGCATTGATAAAGAGTACTTAATCACTCTGCAAAGTGCTGGGATTCAGCTCGTATTTTACCAGGTTTCAGGTAGAGAATACAAACAAGAACCGTCTCTGACCTCATAATCTTATAGTCTAGTGGAGGAAAGAGACAAGAAAATTAGCAATTACATTACAAATATATTTCATGCTGAAATAAATAAACATTTCCTTAGTAAACACTGCCTTATTTAAAAACAAACAAAACAGTAACAACACATCTAAACAGTCCAAGACATCCAGGAGAACTGTCCACCTGGAAATCTTTTAAAAATTTGCAAATGCCAGTATTCCCAACGATTATTTGTAAGAAGGCTCTTATTCATTAGAGAGATGTTGTCAGATGACTCAGTGGAAGGAAACCTTTACAATAAAAAGTGAAAATACCACAGACAGTTGATTATTATTGACTTGATTATTGTTAACAGCAACAAGAGGGTTTCCAAAGAGCATCTGGTGGGTTTGAACGACCAACCTTGTGGTTAGTAGTCCAATGCTAACCACACCAGGACTACTATTAGTTTTGTTGTTAAGTGCCATCTAGTCAGTTCCGACCCATAGCAACCCTATGCAGGGTTCCAAGGAGCAACTGGTGAGCTTGAACCATGACCTGCAGTTCAAACCAACATTGAAGTCCAGCACATTAACCCACACCAGGACTCCCCTATTACTATATTGTTTTTGTTGTTGTTGTTAAGTGCCATCAAGTCAGTTCTGACACATAGTGACCCTGTATAGGGTTGGTGAGGAGCAGCTGGTGGGTTTAAACTGCTGACCTTGTGATTCTCCCACTAGTGCTGATCCACAGACCCACACTAGAAGTCCATTTAATACTATAATAGTTACTAATATTTAGTATAATATTTTGATTTGGTTGAGATTATCTAAGCAGTTTTCAATAGACCCAGAGGTAAGACTAAATGCATAAACATTTGAAAATGTTTTCTACTCATAAATGTCTATATGAAACCTGGTAGGATAAGCACTGGACTACTAACTGAAAGGTCAGTGGTTCAAAACCCCAGTTGCTCCTTAGAAACCTTATAGTGATGGTTGTTACATGCTGTTGATTTAGGTTCAACTCCTAGCGACCCTGTGCACAACAGAACAGAACATTGCCCAGTCCTGCGCCATCTCACAATTGTTATTCTTGTACCATTGCTGCTGCTACTGTGCCAGTCCATCTCCTTGGAGGTCTTCCTCTTTTTTACTGACCCTTTACGATATCAATCATGATGTCCTTCTCCACAGACTGGTGTCTTAATGATAACATGTTTGAAGTATGAGAAACGAAGTCTTGCCATTCTGACTTGTAAGGAACATGCTAGTTGTAGTTCCAAGACAGATTTGTTTGTTCTTCTGGCAGTACAAGGTACTTTTAATATTGTTCTCTAACACCATAACTCAAACGCATCATTTCTTCCATGGTCTTCCTTATTCATTGTACAACTTTCACATGCTTATAAGCTATTGCAATTACCATGGCTTGGGTCAGGATCACCTTAGTTTTCAAACTGACATCTATGCAATTGAACACTTTAAAGAGGTTTTGTGCAGTAGATTTGGCTAATGCAATATGTTGTTTTATTTCTTGATTGCTGCTTCCATAAGTGTTGGTTTGGGATCCAAGTAAAATGAAGTCTTTGACAACTTTAATCTTTTCACCTTTTATCGTGATCCAGTTCCTCCTTTTTGTCCATTTTTTTCATTGTCCAGTTGTGAGGATTTTTGTTTTCTTTACATTGAGGTGCAATCCAGGCTGAGAGCTATAGTCTTTGATCTTTATCAGTAGGTATTTTAAGTCCTCTTTGCTTCCAACATATTGCAGGTTGTTAATCAGTTTTCCCCCAATTCTTAAACCCAATTTCTCAGATTATTTGCTCAGCATACAGATTGAATAACTATGGTGGAAGAATACAACCACCAAGTACACATTTCCTGATTTGAAACTGAAAAGCAATATCCCCTTTCTGTGTTTGAACGACTGCCTTTTGATCTATGTAGAGGTTCCTCAAGAGCACAATTAAGCGTTCTCAAATATACAGTTCAATTCTTTGCAGTGTTATTCATAGCTTGTCATGACCCACACAGTCAAAAGTGTTTGCACAGTGAATAAAGTACAAGTAAGCATCTTTCTGGTATTCTCTGCTTTCAGCCAATATCCATCTGACATCAGCAATGATATCCTTTGTTCCACATCCTCTTCTGAATCCAGCTTGAATTTCTGGAAGTTCCCTGGTGATGTACTGTTGCAGCTGTTTTTGAATTATCTTCAGCACAATTTTACTTGCATGTGATACTAATTGTATTGTTTGATGATTTCTACATTCCATACGGTCACATCTCTTTGGATTGGGCACAAATGTGAATCTCTTCCAAATCTGTTGGCCAGCTAGCGAGATTCTAAATTTTTTGGCAAAGATGAGTGAGTGCCTCCAGTGCTTTGTCAGTTTATTGAAAGATTTCAAATGGTTTTCTGTTAATTCCTGGAGCCTTGGTTTTTTTGTTGTTTTTCTGCCAACACTATCAGTTCAGTTTGGACTTCTTCCTTCAATACTGTTGATTCTTAATCATATGCTACTTCTTGCTATGGCTGAATATCGACCATTTCTTTTTGTACAGTAAATCTGTGTATTCCTTTTATTTCCTGTTTTTTTTTTTAAAGGTTTTTATTGTGGATTGAGTGAAAGTTTAGAGGGCAGATCATCAGTTTTACATTCAACAAATCATACACCTTGTTTCATTACAATGATTATAATCCCCTCCATGTACCATCAGTTAACACTATTTCT